AATTGTAAAGTAGCTAAAACATGTAATTCTTGTGTCCATTCAACACAGATCCTAGTTTAGTGAATAGACATATTTCAGCTATTATTAACTGACCTCACTGCAGCAGGAGCTCAGATCTTTTCAGGCACTTAAATTCGGATGTTCCCAAACCAAAAGTGTCCTCTCTCTCTTTTAGCTGCGATCATACAGAACCCTTAGCTCAGGACTCACTATAACATACTCTAAGGAGACAGCTCCCTCTGCTCACCAGGAAATTGCCTAAAATGTCACGTTATCAGGACTAGCTGTCACCGACCACAATGATTGCTTGTTCATACCATCTACTGTTAGGAACCCTCCTGTGCGCTCATAGCTGAAGAATGAAGTTTTTAGGTAACTTAGCTCCCATGAATGGCAATCACACAAAGGCCCTCCTCTGGGAAAAGATAAAGCCCTTACGATTGGAATGTAATAACAGCTATAGGAAGATGTGCACCACCAGGACGCCAGCAGAATCTCCGACGTGCACATATTGTATTATAGGAATCCTGCCCCAGGGTGCTGGGCAAGAAATGTCAAACAAACACATAGTATTTACTACAAACAAAAAATTATTAAATTATCAAATAGAAACTTCGGTCTGGAAAATGTCTCACTCATATTACATAAAGTGATTATTAAAAAGTATTTTTATGTAAATAGTTCTATATTGACTTTACAGACAGGAAGAAATCCTTGAGACAATAACACCACATGCCAATCATTTAAAACCAAACGCATCTCTCACTTTAATTTTTCCTCCATCATTTTAAAGGGATAAACGCTCTGCACAAGCAAGGTCTCACCAGAACTGTCATGATACATACTGACTCCATATGTTCAATACATTAAAAGGTGATCTTTCACTTCCCACAATTTATTATACTATAATTACATATCCCTGTATTTACCTGTATTAGTGACATGTGAAAAATAAAATGTAGAAATTCACAGATCTTTATCCTGTAACTGGGCGCCTCCATCTTAGCTCCCTGTCAATCATTGTTATAAGCTCCGCCCTTTACATCTGGCAGTCAGTATAGAGAGAGCCGCCTCCATCTTAGCCCCCTGTCAATCATTGTTATAAGCTCCGCCCTTTACACCTGGCAGTCAGTATAGAGAGAGCCGCCTCCATCTTAGCCCCCTGTCAATCATTGTTATAAGCTCCGCCCTTTACACCTGGCAGTCAGTATAGAGAGAGTCGCCTCCATCTTAGCTCCCTGTCAGTCATTGTTATAAGCTCCGCTCTTTACACCTGGCAGTCAGTATAGAGAGAGCCGCCTCCATCTTAGCTCCCTGTCAATCATTGTTATAAGCTCCGCCCTTTATACCTGGCAGTCAGTATAGAGAGAGCCACCTGGCAGTCAGTATAGAGAGAGCCACCTCCATCTTAGCTCCCTGTCAATCATTGTTATAAGCTCCGCCCTTTACACCTGGCAGTCAGTATAGAGAGAGCTACCTCCATCTTAGCTCCCTGTCAATCATTGTTATAAGCTCCACCCTTTACACATGGCAGTCAGTATAGAGAGAGCCACCTCCATCTTAGCTCCATGTCAATCATTGTTATAAGCTCCGCCCTTTACACCTGGCAGTCAGTACAGAGAGAGCCGCCTCCATCTTAGCTCCCTGTCAATCATTGTTATAAGCTCCGCCCTTTACACCTGGCAGTCAGTACAGAGAGAGCCACCTCCATCTTAGCTCCCTGTCAATCATTGTTATAAGCTCCGCCCTTTACACCTGGCAGTCAGCATAGAGAGAGCTACCTCCATCTTAGCTCCCTGTCAATCATTGTTATAAGCTCCGCCCTTTACACCTGGCAGTCAGTATAGAGAGAGCCACCTCCATCTTAGCTCCCTGTCAATCATTGTTATAAGCTCCGCCCTTTACACCTGGCAGTCAGAATAGAGAGAGCCGCCTCCATCTTAGCTCCCTGTCAATCACTGTTATAAGCTCCGCCCTTTACACCTGGCAGTCAGTATAGAGAGAGCCATCTTAGCTCTCGTCAATCATTGTTATAAGCTCGCCTTTTACACCTGGCAGCCGGGTATAGAGGTTTTCTCACCTCCCATCTTAGCTCCCTGTCAATCATTGTTATAAGCTCCTCCCTTTACACCTGGCAGTCACTATAGAGAGATCCGTCTCCATCTTAGCTCCCTGTCAATCATTGTTATAAGCTCCGCCCTTTACACCTGGCAGTCAGTATAGAGAGAGCCGCCTCCATCTTAGCTCCCTGCCAATCATTGTTATAAGCTCCGCCCTTTACACCTGGCAGTCAGTATAGAGAGAGCCGCCTCCATCTTAGCTCCCTGTCAATCATTGTTATAAGCTCCGCCCTTTACACCTGGCAGTCAGTAGAGAGAGAGCCGCCTCCATCTTAGCTCCCTGTCAATCATTGTTATAAGCTCCGCCCTTTACACCTGGCAGTCAGTATAGAGAGAGCTGCCTCCATCTTAGCTCCCTGTCAATCATTGTTATAAGCTCCGCCCTTTACACCTGGCAGTCAGTATAGAGAGAGCCACCTCCATCTTAGCTCCCTGTCAATCATTGTTATAAGCTCCGCCCTTTACACCTGGCAGTCAGTATAGAGAGAGCCACCTCCATCTTAGCTCCCTGTCAATCATTGTTATAAGCTCCGCCCTTTACACCTGGCAGTCAGTATAGAGAGAGCCACCTCCATCTTAGCTCCCTGTCAATCATTGTTATAAGCTCCGCCCTTTACACCTGGCAGTCAGTATAGAGAGAGCCGCCTCCATCTTAGCTCCCTGTCAGTCATTGTTATAATCTCCGCCCTTTACACCTGGCAGTCAGTATAGAGAGAGCCGCCTCCATCTTAGCTCCCTGTCAATCATTGTTATAAGCTCCGCCCTTTACACCTGGCAGTCAGTATAGAGAGAGCCGCCTCCATCTTAGCTCCCTGTCAGTCATTGTTATAAGCTCCGCCCTTTACACCTGGCAGTCAGTATAGAGAGAGCCACCTCCATCTTAGCTCCCTGTCAATCATTGTTATAAGCTCCGCCCTTTACACCTGGCAGTCAGTATAGAGAGAGCCACCTCCATCTTAGCTCCCTGTCAATCATTGTTATAAGCTCCGCCCATTACACCTGGCAGTCAGTATAGAGAGAGCCACCTCCATCTTAGCTCCCTGTCAATCATTGTTATAAGCTCCGCCCTTTACACCTGGCAGTCAGTATAGAGAGAGCCGCCTCCATCTTAGCTCCCTGTCAATCATTGTTATAAGCTCCGCCCTTTACACCCTGGCAGTCAGTATAGAGAGCGCACCTCCATCTTAGCTCCCTGTCAGTCATTGTTATAAGCTCCGCCCTTTACACCTGGCAGTCAGTATAGAGAGAGCCGCCTCCATCTTAGCTCCCTGTCAGTCATTGTTATAAGCTCCGCCCTTTACACCTGGCAGTCAGTATAGAGAGAGCCTCCATCTTAGCTCCCTGTCAATCATTGTTATAAGCTCCGCCCTTTACACCTGGCAGTCAGTATAGAGAGAGCCACCTCCATCTTAGCTCCCTGTCAATCATTGTTATAAGCCACACCTGGCAGTCAGTATAGAGAGAGAGCCACCTCCATAGTATCTCCTCCATCTTAGCTCCCTGTCAATCATTGTTATAAGCTCCGCCCTTTACACCTGGCAGTCAGTATAGAGAGAGCCACCTCCATCTTAGCTCCCTGTCAATCATTGTTATAAGCTCCGCCCTTTACACCTGGCAGTCAGTATAGAGAGAGCCGCCTCCATCTTAGCTCCCTGTCAATCATTGTTATAAGCTCCGCCCTTTACACCTGGCAGTCAGTATAGAGAGAGCCGCCTCCATCTTAGCTCCCTGTCAATCATTGTTATAAGCTCCGCCCTTTACACCTGGCAGTCAGTATAGAGAGAGCCACCTCCATCTTAGCTCCCTGTCAATCATTGTTATAAGCTCCGCCCTTTACACCTGGCAGTCAGTATAGAGAGAGCCACCTCCATCTTAGCTCCCTGTCAATCATTGTTATAAGCTCCGCCCTTTACACCTGGCAGTCAGTATAGAGAGAGCCGCCTCCATCTTAGCTCCCTGTCAATCATTGTTATAAGCTCCGCCCTTTACACCTGGCAGTCAGTATAGAGAGAGCCACCTCCATCTTAGCTCCCTGTCAATCATTGTTATAAGCTCCGCCCTTTACACCTGGCAGTCAGTATAGAGAGAGCCGCCTCCATCTTAGCTCCCTGTCAATCATTGTTATAAGCTCCGCCCTTTACACCTGGCAGTCAGTATAGAGAGAGCCACCTCCATCTTAGCTCCCTGTCAATCATTGTTATAAACTCCGCCCTTTACACCTGGCAGTCAGTATAGAGAGAGCATACAGAGGGGAGAAGACATGAAACAATGTTCAGTGTTTGCACTGGCTGTGTCTGGACTGTGATAATAATTGCTAAATTATTATTATATTTACAAGAAAATGGAGATTCTCATGAAACAAATATAAGAATATAAAACGATTTTCATTATTTAATTCAATGACTTAAACCCCGAAAAGTGACATTTGGCTCTGCGTACTCCCAGCTGTCAAACAATCTCGCTGTGTTACTGTTGGTTATCTTGTGATAAAAGGTACACTGCCATGCAGTCCAGTTTGGTTTATTATTATTATTGCCATTTATATAGCGCCAACAGATTCCGTAGCGCTTTACAATAATATTAGAGGGGGGATTTAACTATAAATAGGTCAATTACAAGAAAACTTACAGAAACGATAGGTTGAAGAGGGCCGTGCTCAAACGAGCTTACGGTCTATAGGATTTAAGGTTATCATACTCTCTATTCACAGCCATTATGTGTTTAGTTATGTTAATTCTGCTCCACGCTCCCAGCTAAGTCCGTCCTTTACGGCCCGGGTGTCTTTTATCACATATGGAATGTGTTTATATCTGGCTGGATCGACCTTTATTACCAATCTCACTCTAGCAGTACAGATTCAGTCAGTCTAACCGGAACTTCCTCTGTTATAGAGTAAACGCTCCCAGCTCCACAGAAATGAAATATACATATAACAGAAAGAATTTGCGCACCACTATGAATGTCTGCATTGATAGAGCGGTTTCTTATTCAGTGTTACACGGCTGGAGATTTGTAGAGAAAGCCATTAATGGCAAACCTTAACAGATCACATTTCAGCAGCTTCTACCTCCCAGTCATTAAACCCTGAAGAATGCAGTGATTTGTATGCATGCGAGCATACACTGACAGTGAGCAGTCACAGTGAGTAAGCTCATTTGAAAATCCTATCTCAGCATGAGTTAACATTTTGGCTTAATTTAATAACAGTGCAATTAAAAATAATGATTTAACCTTTTTAAAACTACAGTTTGCTGCTATAATGGTTTTATTTTGAATTTCAGACACTACAAAGTCTGGAGCTGATTATACCCATTGTTAATGCTTTACAATACATAGATAATACATTGCAAAATCAATAGAATCTCAATAAACTCTTTAAAAAAACTGCAATAGAAAAAAAGAATAGACCAAACACATGTCTGTTGGCACGGTGCTGTAAGAAGTTGCGCGGAGATGTCTGTTGGCACAGTGCTGTAAGAAGGTGTGTGGGGATGTCTGTTGGCACGGTGCTGTAAGGAGGTTCATGGGGATGTCTGTTGGCACAGTGCTATAAGAAGGTGTGTGGGGATGTCTGTTGGCACAGTGCTGTAAGAAGTTGCGCGGAGATGTCTGTTGGCACAGTGCTGTAAGAAGGTGTGTGGGGATGTCTGTTGGCACGGTGCTGTAAGGAGGTTCATGGGGATGCCTGTTGGCACAATGCTGTAAGGAGGTGCGTGGGGATGTCTGTTGGCACAGTGCTATAAGAAGGTGTGTGGGGATGTCTGTTGGCACAGTGCTGTAAGGAGGTGCGTGGGGATGTCTGTTGGCACAGTGCTATAAGAAGGTGTGTGGGGATGTCTGTTGGCACGGTGCTGTAAGGAGGTTCATGGGGATGTCTGTTGGCACGGTGCTGTAAGGAGGTTCATGGGGATGTCTGTTGGCATAGTGCTGTAAGGAGGTGCAAGGAGATGTCTGTTGGCACAGTGCTGTAAGGAGGTGCAAGGGGATGTCTGTTGGCACAGTGCTGTAAGAAGGTGTGTGGGGATGTCTGTTGGCACGGTGCTGTAAGGAGGTTCATGGGGATGCCTGTTGGCACAATGCTGTAAGGAGGTGCGTAGGGATGTCTGTTGGCACAGTGCTATAAGAAGGTGTGTGGGATGTCTGTTGGCACAGTGCTGTAAGGAGGTTCATGGGATGTCTGTTGGCACAGTGCTGTAAGACTGTGGAGATGTCTGTTAGCACAGTGCTTTGTAAGAAGGTGTGTGGGGATGTCTGTTGGCACGGTGCTGTAAGGAGGTTCATGGGGATGCCTGTTGGCACAATGCTGTAAGGAGGTGCGTGGGGATGTCTGTTGGCACAGTGCTATAAGAAGGTGTGTGGGGATGTCTGTTGGCACAGTGCTGTAAGGAGGTTCATGGGGATGTCTGTTGGCACAGTGCTGTAAGGAGGTGCGTGGGGATGTCTGTTGGCACAGTGCTATAAGAAGGTGTGTGGGGATGTCTGTTGGCACGGTGCTGTAAGGAGGTTCATGGGGATGTCTGTTGGCACAGTGCTGTAAGGAGGTGCAAGGAGATGTCTGTTGGCACAATGCTGTAAGAAGGTGTGTGGGGATGTCTGTTGGCAGAGTGCTGTAAGGAGGTTCATGGGGATGTCTGTTGGCACAATGCTGTAAGGAGGTGCGTGGGGATGTCTGTTGGCACAGTGCTATAAGAAGGTGTGTGGGGATGTCTGTTGGCACAGTGCTGTAAGGAGGTTCATGGGGATGTCTGCTGGCACAATGCTGTAAGAAGGTGTGTGGATATGTCTGTTGGCACAGTGCTGTAAGGAGGTTCATGGGGATGTCTGTTGGCATAGTGCTGTAAGGAGGTGAGTGGGGATGTCTGTTGGCACAGTGCTGTAAGGAGGTGAGTGGGGATGCCTGTTGGCACAGTGCTGTAAGATCGAGTCAGCAGACAGGAATTGTGCAGGACCGTTGCTATCTAACTAACACTATGTGGGTTTGTCCTTGGCTGGTGACACACAACCTCAATGTTCTGTAAGGAGGTGAGTGGGGATGCCTGTTGGCACAGTGCTGTAAGGAGGTGAGTGGGGATGTCTGTTGGCACGGTGCTGTAAGGAGGTGAGTGGGGATGTCTGTTGGCACAGTGCTGTAAGGAGGTGAGTGGGGATGCCTGTTGGCACAGTGCTGTAAGATCGAGTCAGCAGACAGGAATTGATGGGGATGTCTGCTGGCACAATGCTGTAAGAAGGTGTGTGGATATGTCTGTTGGCACAGTGCTGTAAGGAGGTGAGTGGGGATGTCTGTTGGCACAGTGCTGTAAGGAGGTGCGTGGGGATGTCTGTTGGCACAGTGCTGTAAGGAGGTGCGTGGGGATGTCTGTTGGCACAGTGCTGTAAGGAGGTTCATGGAGATGTCTGTTGGCACGGTGCTGTAAGGAGGTTCATGGGGATGTCTGTTGGCATAGTGCTGTAAGGAGGTGAGTGGGGATGCCTGTTGGCACAGTGCAGTAAGGACACCTGTTGGCACAGTGCAGTAAGGATGCCTGTTGGCACAGTGCTGTAAGGAGTGGGGATGTCTGTTGGCACGGTGCTGTAAGGAGGTGCGTGGGGATGTCTGTTGGCACGGTGCTGTAAGGAGGTGCGTGGGGATGCCTGTTGGCACAGTGCTGTAAGGAGTGTGTCTGTTGGCACGGTGCTGTAAGGAGGTGCGTGGGGATGTCTGTTGGCACGGTGCTGTAAGGAGGTGCGTGGGGATGTCTGTTGGCACAGTGCTGTAAGGAGGTGAGTGGGGATGTCTGTTGGCACAGTGCTGTAAGGAGGTGAGTGGGGGTGTGTGTTGGCACAGTGCTGTAAGGAGGTGAGTGGGGATGTCTGTTGGCACAGTGCTGTAAGGAGGTGAGTGGGGATGTCTGTTGGCACAGTGCTGTAAGGAGGTGCGTGGGGATGTCTGTTGGCACAGTGCTGTAAGGAGGTGAGTGGGGATGTCTGTTGGCACAGTGCTGTAAGGAGGTGAGTGGGGATGTCTGTTGGCACAGTGCTGTAAGGAGGTGAGTGGGGTTGTCTGTTGGCACAGTGCTGTAAGGAGGTGAGTGGGGATGTCTGTTGGTACGGTGCTGTAAGGAGGTGAGTGGGGATGTCTGTTGGCACAGTGCTGTAAGGAGGTGAGTGGGGATGCCTGTTGGCACGGTGCTGTAAGGAGGTGAGTGGGGTTGCCTGTTGGCACAGTGCTGTAAGGAGGTGAGTGGGGATGTCTGTTGGTACGGTGCTGTAAGGAGGTGAGTGGGGATGTCTGTTGGCACAGTGCTGTAAGGAGGTGAGTGGGGATGCCTGTTGGCACAGTGCTGTAAGGAGGTGAGTGGGGATGTCTGTTGGCACAGTGCTGTAAGGAGGTGAGTGGGGATGTCTGTTGGCACAGTGCTGTACCCCCTGCTGCCTCCCCTGCTGCCTCCCCTGCGGTCCCTGCCCCTGGGGGCCGCTGCAGCACTGGCAGGCATTCCCGCCTGCCTGCCAGGCTGCCCCTGGATCCTACTCCTCGGGCCCGGTTGAGGAGCAGGAGTCCGGGCCCGAGGCACCGCCGGGGCCACGTGTCTGGGGCTGCAGACACACTACCTACCCTTAGTGGCCGTGATTTGCGGCCTTCTGCGGCTGCGCGCATGGCACAGCCTTCTCCCACGAGGCCTGCCACTGCCGCGCGGCCTATGTTTGTATCTCCATCCGCCGCGGCCGCCAGTGCTGGATTGTGGGCCGTGGGCGGCAGGTCCCACGCGGCTGGCGGGGAGGTGAGTAGGCCCTCGCGGGCCGCACGGGGTACTTTAGTATCGCCGTGGGGGTCTGGGGGGGTCCCCTTGCCTGTCGGGAGCCTCCTCTGCCGGTGAGGAAGGCTCCCAGGGCCCTGTCTCCCCTTCCCTCTATCTTTTCCCCTATTAGTATGTTTCCTTTTCTTCTTTTCTCTTCCAGGGGGCCCAGCTTACCCTTGCCTGGGCCCCCTGGTCCCCCCTCCTCTTGCTCGGTTTTCTCTTCCCCCCCTCCCCATCTCTGGTGGGCCTGATCCCCCCTCTTTCCCCCCCTCCTGCTCTAATTCTCCCCCTCTCCCCCCTCTTTCCCTCCCTATCTGCATCGTCCCTGGGATGAGCTGGGTTGGTGGAGGTACGTTTTGCACTTTCGTCAACGGTTGGCGGTGCGACCCTTCTTGGCCTGGGACCGGATGGGCTTTGGCCTCTGGTTTTACTTGGGGCTCACCTGGCGCCTCAGAATGGTGTGTTTTTCGTTCTCTCTACAATCTGTCCGTATGGGGGACGTGGGTGCTCTCGGTGCAGGGCCCTCAGTCCATGTGAGAGCTCCATCGGGCGGTGTGGGTCCAGTTTACCAAGAACGCTTGATAACCTTACTTCCCGATCGTTTAGGGTGCCCCTGAAGTCCGCTCTGCGGGTCCCCCCTTTGGGATATGGTGCCCATGGAGGAGCGGGGTCGGTATCGCCAGATTCCTTATCTACTCAGTTGTCATTTCCTTCCAGGGGCTAGGTTTGGGATGGTGGCTCAGCGCAGCAGTCTGCGTGGGTGGGGCTGCGGGGCCTTGCTGACAAAGGCGGCTGTGGAATCGGTTTTCTGGCTGCTGCCGGTACGCCCGTCGGGTTTATTGTTTCCAGGCTGTGTTTCCGACGGTCAGGATTGGGTGGCTATGTGCCTCCACATGAGTTGCTCCCGATGTCGCTTATGTGTGGCCGTCGGTGCCGCATGTCCGCACTCTGCTGCTGCAGTGTTTTTCCTGGGGTAGTGTTTTGAGTTTTGGAGTTCCGTGGATAGTGGGATCGATTCCTGCAAAGGAACGTCGTTGCCCCTGACTGCGGTTTGGAACATCAGGCAGGGGGCGTCGGTGGTTTTGAGGGGCGTTGTGGGTTTCGGCTGCACTACCTTTGGACTCTGCTTGTTGGGGTTGCCCTTGGGACTGTATGAGGTTCCGTCTGGGCCTCCCTTAACGGTGGCTTGTGCAATCTGGCCCCCTAAGTCTTTTCCGCTGACTTCCAACTGTTTGCTGCTGCAGCAGGTTTGGGGGGTTTCGGGCCATTTTGGGCTCTCAATGGTGTGCTGACTCTTGCCCATTACACTGGCAAGCATCGGGGCTCTGGCGGACTCTGGTGTTCTTGGAGCTTCCCCTTTCTGGTGGCATGGTAGGCATGGGGTGCCCAGCTCACAAACAGGTGGGTGGGCTTTCCTTTGGGACCATCGTGAGGCGGTGCTGGCTGTCTTATCATGTGACAGTACCCTCTACCCCGGTGTTACTCTGGTTGCAGCGCCTGGCTCGGCCCTGTTTGAGTCTGGGGGCGGCTGGTCAGGGTTTTTTTGTCCGGGTATTCCCGATGTGGTGGCCGATGCTCTGTCTTGTTCAATATAGGGCGTACTTCGGGCAGAGGTGTCGCGGGGTCGATTTTAGGGCAGTGGAGGTGGTCGCTTGGTCCAACGGTCTGATGAAGCTGGTCCGTGGGTCAACCTATGAGGCGGCGTGGGGCCTGCTCCAGTAAGGTGGGAGTGATCAGGACGGATGGGAACGTTTCCTTGGGGGTTCCGGGAGTGGACTGCTCATCTACATGTTTGGTTCCGTCTGTTAAGGGCGTTGGGGGTGATTTCTGCGATTAGCAGGGCTCGGCTTCCTGTTCATGTTACGGTCGTCAGCAAGTGGTGGGGTGTTTTGGTGGAGTTGAGTAAGCGTTAATTTATGAATCTCTAATTAAAGGCAAAGTGTAACATATAACTATGCATTCTAGAGATATATTTCAATGGATACAAATCTCTGAATCTCTAATTAAAGGTAAAGTGTAACATATAACTATACATTCTAGAGATATATTTCAATGGAGACAAATCTCTGAATCTCTAATTAAAGGCAAAGTGTAACATATAACAATGCATTCTAGAGATATATTTCAATGGAGACAAATCTCTGAATCTCTAATTAAAGGTACAGTGTAACATATAACGATGGTAATTCTGGTCTCTGTTATTTAAACTTGCTGGTCTGGTAACGTACGTGTTTACTGAGTCCCCTATGCATTGTAATTGATGTGCTCTCACAGTGACTCAGCAGGACTCACAATGTATATAAACCACTCGTAACAAGGATTCCACAACCGGCTCCTGTGTCAAACACTCAGCTCCTCGACTGAATCTATCCAGACATCTACTAAACAAGTAAGATGGCGGTACCCCCTGTGTCAGGCTGCGGGGGGGATTGCTTTTTATATTGCTGTCTAATCTATTTTCCAATTCCCGCAGGTTTTGTCTGGGGTAATGACAGATTTTTGTACTTAGTTTACAGTATAATACAGCGTACAATAAGGTTCCATTCAATGCTATCAGTTTAGATAAGTGGCAGTCGGTCAGACAATAAAATGCGGTGGGTAAACTGGAAAATTAATAACCGCGAGCAGCGAAGTTTGACTTCAGCTCTAACAAACCTACTAATAACGTTCTGCACGCTGATATAAGGGTTTAATCAGAATCTCAGATATTGTTATTTCATACATTTATGTTACTGATTTATTTTGTAGATATTCACATTTTTATTTATTTATTTTTTGCAGTAGTGACTCTGTAACTTCACTGATCTATTTATTCTATTATGTATTTTGTGACATACATTTGTTTATTTTTACAATTTAAAGTAACATTCTAAGGACCATAACTACTACAGCTCACTTTAGTGGTTATGGTGACTGGAGTGCCCTAGTGCCCGCAATGTAAGTAATGAAACTGTTTGGTATAATGATCTGGGGTAACTTCGGGTCTGTCGGGTGCCACTCACTGCCTCTCCTCTTCTGTTAGGAGCTGCCATTCAGGGCCGCCATCAGGGGGTGACAATAACAGTTGTCACGGGGCCCGGCAGCCCTGGGGGGCCCGGCCGCCCGGGCCCAACGTGTAGCGGCGGAACTGCTGCCGGTGAATTTGCACCAGGGCCCACACGCTGATGGGGCCTATCGGGTGGCTCACGCACTTAGGGCCACCCGATGGGCCCTATATCTTTAGGGGCCCGATCAGCGCTGTGGCCGTGGTATAGCGCGACCGGGCCCCTTTAAAAAAAATCCAGCCGCAGCAAGTGCTGCTGGGAGGATGTAGCCACTTCCTCCCAGCTCACTCCGCGCAGGACTCCCATCAGCCCCAGCCACCCTCCTGCAAAGAAAAGGTAAGAAACAGGAGGGTGGCTGGAAAATGAGCTATGTGTGTGTGTCTGTATGAATGTATGTTATTATGTATGTATGTATGAATGTATGTCTGTATGTATGCATGTATGCCAGTATCAATGTATGTCTTTATGTCATTATGTATGTCTGTATACATGTATATCTGTCAGTATGTATGTATATATGTCTGTATATGTGTGTATGTCTCAGTATGTGTGTGTCAGTATGTATGCCTATATGCATGTATGTCTGTTTCAGTATGTGTGTCTGTTAGTATGTATCTGTGTGTGTGTATCTGTGTCCTTTTGCATCTATGTGTGTGTCTGTATTCCTGTGGGTGGGATTGCAGGCGGGGCCCAGACCCTGAGCTGAGTTAGGGGCCCCAAAATTTCTGGTGGCGACCCTGCTTCCATTGGCTCTCCTAAGCTAAGCTCTGAGCCAGCTTATTTGCTGAGAACATCGACTGATCACGCTCAGCCAATGAGCTAAGCTTAGTGCACTGGCCAGCTTAGTGTGAAAGTATTCTCAGTACTTTTTGTCCTACTTACTGTACACATCGCGGTCAGACAGGAGTAGACTGTTAGTACCACACTGGCGGCTGATGATCTGCTATAAGAATTCATTCATTGGTCAAACATGATTTATCTGATGGGAGGCTACACAGAGTTAAACCAGCTAAAATTGGTCTAGTAACATCACGGCTCCCAAACATTTCTCTGATCTATGAAGAGTTAATACATGCTTTCTGTATAACGTGGAACCAAATGAATAACTGTAAATATTCCACAAAACCAAACTAAGGCAACGAACCCGCGAATCCTGTGTCATGGAGACTAAATTCTCTCCTTCACTAAATTCTCGATTATTATTTTAAGTCTCACTGTAATTTAAGTGATAGAAGTCACTAAAACAACTACAGCTTATTGAATTTGTTCTGGTGAGTAGAATCATTCCCTTCAGGCTTTTTGCTGTAAACGCTGTCTTTTCAGAGAAAATGCAGTGTTTACATTACAGCCTAGTGATAACTTCACTGGCCACTCCTCAGATGGCTGTTAGAGATCCTTCCTGGGTCATGGCTGCCTAAAATGCATCCAAACATTCAGTATCTCCTCCCTCTGCATGCAGACACTGAACTTTCCTCATAGAGATTCATTGATTCAGTTAAACTCTGAGGAGATGCTGATTGGCCAGGGCTGTGTTTGATTCATGCTGGCTCTGCTCCTGATCTGCCTCCTTGTCAGTCTCAGCCAATCCTATGGGGAAGCATTGTGATTGGATCAGGCCACCACTTCTGATTATGTCAGCAGGCAGCTTGTTTTTCTGAGTCTAACAGCATGCAGATCTACAGCTTCAGGCTTGAATACAGTAAGATTTTGCTATATTTATGGAGGCATGAGGGGCCTAGGGGTGCTAGATGGTGGTGTTAACACTATAGGGTCAGGAATACATGTTTGTGTTCCTGACCCTATAGTGATCCTTTAAAGCTATTGTTATTGTTATTATTATTATTATTATTATTATTTGTAAAGCACCAACAAATTTGTTGTACAAGTTAATCACTGCTTCGTGGTAAGAGCATTCAGAAGTGACTGTTGATTTAATTTGAGCAGCAGACAGTGCGCACAGAGCAGGTAGAAGCTGCTGTTTACTAACATAATACCAGGTTTATGAGATGTCACAGATTATCAGATAGAAACCAGTGAAGGACTTTCATCTAACAGGACTCTGTTACTGTATCAATGGGATATCACTAGTCAAGTATTAACTCTCTATAACGCCTATAAAAATGTATATCAAACCGCATTCTTGATTTGTTTAAGTTTAGGTTACCGTCTCTCTCTGGATCACAGTAATTTTTAGTTATTCTGCTCACCTTAATGGTAGATATAATAAAAAATCATATTAAACAATTCATTTTGTTCCTCTCTGTAATCTTTTTTGTTTATTCCAGTGCAGACTGTGTCTGCGGCTGCCAGCCCCTCCCCAGTTCCACCTCCTTGGCTGAGATCCGCAAATCCAGTGCTTTCCCATAGGGAGCATTATGAGGCTCATGAACATGCGCAACAAAATGCTGTGCTACGCCAATCAGCATCTCCTCATAGAGATACATTGAATCAATTCATCTCTATGAGGAAAGTTCAGTGTCTCCATGCAAAGGGTGGAGACAGTGAATGCCACTGGAGGTGTCCCTAGGCTGTAATGTTTACATTAAAATGTCTGCAGGGAGAGGCTATAGAACAACTACATTAAGCTGTATACCGTACATTAAGCCGTATACCGTACACTAAGCTGTATACCGTACATTAAGCTGTATACCGTACACTAAGCTGTATACCGTACATTAAGCTGTATACCGTACACTAAGCTGTATACTATACATTAAGCTGTATACCGTACATTAAGCTGTATACCGTACACTAAGCTGTATACCGTACATTAAGCTGTATACCGTACACTAAGCTGTATACCGTACATTAAGCTGTATACCGTACACTAAGCTGTATACCGTACATTAAGCCGTATACCGTACACTAAGCCGTATACCGTACATTAAGCCGTATACCGTACATTAAGCTGTATACCGTACATTAAGCCGTATACCGTACACTAAGCCGTATACCGTACATTAAGCTGTATAGCCTATACCCGTTAAGCTGTATACCGTACACACTAAGCCGTTAAGCACGTAAGCTGTATGTATACCGTTATACCGTATACCGCTGTATACCTGTACATTAAGCTTAAGCTGTATACCGTACACTAAGCTGTATACCGTACATTAAGCTGTATACTGTACACTAAGCTGTATACTATACATTAAGCTGTATACCGTACACTAAGCTGTATACGTTACATTAAGCTGTATACGTTACATTAAGCTGTATACCGTACATTAAGCCGTATACCGTACACTAAGCTGTATACCGTACATTAAGCTGTATACCGTACACTAAGCTGTATACTATACATTAAGCTGTATACCGTACACTAAGCTGTATACGTTACATTAAGCTGTATACCGTACACTAAGCTGTATACCGTACATTAAGCTGTATACCGTACACTAAGCTGTATACCGTACATTAAGCTGTATACTGTACACTAAGCTGTATACTATACATTAAGCTGTATACCGTACACTAAGCTGTATACGTTACATTAAGCTGTATACCGTACACTAAGCTGTATACCGTACATTAAGCTGTATACCGTACATTAAGCTGTATACGTTACATTAAGCTGTATACCGTACATTAAGCTGTATACCGTACATTAAGCTGTATAGTGTACATTACGCTGTAGTTTTTCTGGTGACTATCGTGTCCCTTTAATTATCTATGTAAAGAGCTTGCAATGCGTTGCCTGTAAATCCATTTCACTTTATTTTGCTATTTTCTTGTGCGATGCATTATATTGTTGTTAATATTTTGATTATTATGTGTAAAACACTACACTGTGAGTTGGTAATCTCTGTCTGCAGTAACCGTGCTCGTCTGTTAACGAATATTGTGCTTTCTTTCCTCAGTGCCAGGATACGTACTGACCTACTTCCCAGTCAGAGGTAAGTGATTCTTAAAAGACTATAAAACAATATTTACTTTATTAACTATCTACTCACACATCAGTTTGTAATCACAACATCGATACTAATTGCTGATTTGATAATGTGGATAAGCTTTCAAATGAGTGACTATTTCTGGACGCACTTTTAAAATGATTAAAATGTTTAAAGATGATTTAATTATATATTTTTTATGTATAATATATTTTTTGATATTTTAATATTTTGAAAGAAAAATAATTAGAGAATGAATTAGTACTAGCTGTTACTTGTTAGAGCCGTTAATGTCTCTATATTTCTCTCCAATAGGACGTGCTGAGAGTACGCGCCTGCTGCTGGCAGATCAGGGAGCGTCATTGACAGATGTCGAAGTGCCGCTTGCTGATTGGTTCTCAGGAAAGACTGATCTTAAAAAGAATGCTGTGAGAATAATTTATTGATACTTACTATTCTGCAAACTGCTAACTGCCAGTTATGTCCCTCTGATTATCCGTTATAAAGAAACTTTCTCTCTTCATATCTATGTTATAGATGAATTCCAAACTCACTCTTTAATCTCGCTGCCTCTCCGCTTCCAGACCCGTTTATTTCCCCTCCGTATAGTAGCAGTCTTTACGCAGGTTTATATTTTTATTTGGATGTCTCCCAGGTCTTCGGTCAGCTGCCTAAGTTCCAGGATGGAGAGTTTGTTTTGTATCAGAGTAACGCCATTCTGAGATACCTGGGACACAAACATGGTGAGACTGTGACTATGGACCACTTTTTGTCTTGCACACCTTGTATGTGGAGGGACGGACGGACGGATGGATGGACAGACAGTTTGTGTGTATGCTTCTAAGAAACTGAGTTATAGTTTTGTCCATAACAAGTAAAATTGTACATAAAAAAGATAAATGTGTTTCAAATTAGCCGTCACCCCCTAATGCAGTGTGTTATCACCAATTTTAGCAAAAGTTCCCCATGTTTTTGCTTTGTTTTGGCTTCCAAACAAAAACTAATGTAACACGTGTATACCTGAGGTTGGCAGGGAATGGGCTAATATCTTACCAGTGTGAAATGAGGCATTTGTAACTTTCAAAATGTTGCCCCAATTCAGTAATTTTATGGATATTTTAGTCTTTGGTCAAAAAGCTCAGGTTTCTTACAGTGACACACTGATTGTCCTGTGATTATGGGAAGGCCGTTGTTGGTTTGTTTGTCAGTTTGTTGGTTTTATATCTGCACCCTTTTTATGAAAGTTCCAGAAGGTTCCCTGTCGTTCTGTCCTGTCTCTCTCACACTAACTGGAATGTATGTTAATTGTCATTCAGGACTTGCTGGCAGCAATGATAAGGATACTGCTCGGATTGACATGGTGAATGATGGAGTGGAAGATTTGAGACAGAAATTCAGCAAGCTGGTATTCTTTGAATTTGTAAGTGAAGTAATATTAACAGTTTTATATTATTCTCCTCATGTATGACACGAGTTCTGTATCCAGATGTTTTCCAGGAATTGAGTGCGGAAGGGCAGTCAACGTGCAAGTGTGGGAAATGGAGAAAGTCATAAATACCATGGGTGCCAGGAGAATATCTCTTTCTAGAACGTTCAGACTGTGTGTTCCACTTCTCCCTGAAATTAGCATCTTTCTACTGTATGGAGTTAATCTGTACATTACTCCCATACATTATGGAAAATAACGGCATGTATAATGTCACCGTGTATAAAGCCAATTATAAAGCATGACGTATCGTGTACAGAAAACATGATATATAGAAATAAACGTTATATGATAGTGAACCATGTGTTGTGGATATATAAAGCCAAGTCAGGGTTCTGGTTATATTAATCGGTTACACCAAGAACCATGAACCCTTCACCACCAGGTGTTACTCCACCTCCAGCACCGCCATTTGCCACAAGAGTTATGGGCACGCTAATGTCAATTCTGTGCCCAACATTCATTCATTGACTGAGTGTGCTCTAAGTATCTGCATGTGGTCCAGCCTCCATCAGACACTGGCAGCCAGCGGGACCAGCTATGAGGACAAACCCATTAGAAGGGGCACAGTGCCAGAGCACTCCGAACACCAGAACCACTACAGTGGGCTGAAAATAAACCAAAACAAAACTGAAAAGCCACTGGTTTATAAATGTCTAATAGACTTGGGCATGGAGGGGAAATGTGGCTCAGCCGAACCATTTTATCCAAAATCAAATTTTGTTTTCTGAAAACCTGAGTTTTAACTAAATACTGTTTCAGCTCAGCAGAATTTTAGAAACAAGATTCTGATTCTGAAACCGAATGAGAAGAACAAAAAAGGGCACGAAATGTGCTCTAAAATATATACATATAATAATATACACTGATAGGAGCATTTCCCACCATTCGGTTCTCAGATCAAGTGAGAACAAGTAATAAATAAAGTTAAAAAGAGGAGGCGCAGCAATAAAACTCTGTATGCATGTATTTATATATTTCTTCAATTCTTAATCTGTAAATAGAGATTATATTACTGCTCCAACTATTTTGCCTCTATTCCTCACTTCTCGCTTGATGGAATAAAATCAACATTTAGTGACGGCCCTTTAGCCATCAGTCATTTCCATTTGCCACGGGCAGAATTCAGAATTGCCCAACCTGGGAATGGGTGCCACCTAAAAATCAGGACCATTCATGCAGAGTGGATTGTAAAACATCTGTCCACCTGATCTGCCCACTGACAGAATGATCGTATACAGATCTGGATTATCCAGTAATTGGCCTTCGACAGTCTCATAGGGCCAGTATCATTGGGTCCATGTCGACACCTGGAGCTCCAGCTTTGTCAATGCAGACAGACGGCCACTAGGGGTATGTTAACCGTACAGTGTAAATATTGACATATTTACAAAACTGATGATTTCCTGCTTTAGATTATAAGGTTAAAACCACAGGACCACTGAGAGGACGTGGTCTGGGTTCCATTAGTGGTCCTTTAATAAAGAGATAATGATTATTTCTCATTGCTAAACGTAATTAGACTGATACTATTTCCATGTAAGATTTATTTCAGCCTGGTCCTATCTTTAAAGATCTTTATTTTGCTTTTATTTTTTGTGGGAGCACGTCAGTCAGTTCCACCAGTATTTCTCTCTCTCTTTGGCAATTTTATCTTTGACATATTACGATGCTAATTGTTTTATCGGATGATTTAAAACATTTTATTTTTATTTTTTCCAGGAAACAGGAAAAGAGAATTATATCAAGAATTTGCCCAACCAACTGGCTCCTTTTGAGAAAATTCTCTCTCAAAATAGCAATGGAACCAAATTTGTGGTAGGCGATAAGGTAAACAGAACCGGTTTTTATCTACTGCTTTCACCATTTTTCCAACATCTGTAAGTCAGCACAGAACGCTGATTAATTTGATATTAAAGCTATTTTTTCTTTGTCCCACAGATCTCATATGCTGATTACAATCTCCTGGACATCTTACATTGCCACCTCGACCTCTCCCCAACGTGTTTGACCGCATTCCCCCTGCTTGCTGCCTACACGGAACGCCTTGCAGCCCGTCCCCAACTCAGCGCGTACCTGAAATCCGAGAAACGAAACAAACGCCCAATCACTCCCAAACATAAACAATAAACGAAATACCTGTCTATAAACCTCTGTAGCAACAACCTCCTTTTACCATAAACACCAGGAAATGGCTCATTATTTTGTCAACTGAATAAACTTTTTTGTTTTTTTAAATATGTCTCATTGGTTTAACTTGTGTGACTATTTATATGTATTTATTATTCCTAGAGGTGTCTGTTTATAAAATGTTGTTCTAAGTTAATGTAGGACTATCACTTGCAGGAATTTTGCATTCTTTGCTGAGAGCGCATGGTGGTCCCTGAAGTAGGAAAGGGTTTGGAGATATCTACCTACAGCTTTAATCTAGAGCATTGTGTTCCTTGCTTCTGGCATGATATGCACATAGTCGCTTTTTTCAGCATATCCAGTTTATCCTTAATACCCATTCCCAATAAAACACAGACTACCATTATTACCTTGGAAAAATTAGCTTTATTAACACATCGAATAACATGAGGTCATTGCCAACACCTAACACACACATTACTAAATTATTTAAAAACACACAAAACCAGGTGTGTAAGTGGCTAACCCCTAAAACACCAAGTGCAATAGTGCAGCGCAATGTAATGGATAAAGTATAGTATAAACCAGTGGTAGTCAACCTTTTTCCACCTACCGCCCACTAATGCATCTTTCTTGATGGAAGAATTTCCTTACCGTCCACTAGTTTTCGCGCATGTGCAGAATATTTTTTAGAAAGGAGGGCGTTTTAAAAAAAAAATAAATGTACGTACATTTTTCTTTTTATTTCTACTTAATGCATGTTTATAATGTTTTTAACTTTACAAAGTTTAATGAGAAAACAATAAAGTAAATTGAAATTACCTTTACTAGTGATTAATGAGATCCTTAAGGTTGATGCTGCAAGACTAAATATTTGATATCTGGTTCGATTTTCGTAAGGAACAAACGAAGGTCTCCTCTTTCGGTGATATTCAGACGACTTCTCTGTTTGCGCATAATATGATTTCTCATCTGTGCGTCAGCTCATCTCATCTCCCTCCTCAATTCCCCTCCCCACCTTTTTTATCCCTTTTTTCTATTTTTTTACTTTCCTTATAGCAATGCCCAGTAGGAAGGCTGAGCTAGGTAGCCCACTTACTATAGCCCACTATAACAGACAGGCACACATACAGACACACACACACACACACATACAGACATGCACATAAGACACATACAAAGACACATACCCACAGACACACATACATACAGACACATACACACACAACACACATACATACAAAGACACATACACACACAACACATACATACAAAGACAAGACACACACAACACATACATACAAAGACAAGACACACAAGACATACATACAAAGACACATACATAAGACACACATACATATACACACATACACACACACACAAGACATACATACAAAGACACACACACAAGACATACATACAAAGACACATACACACAAACAAACACACACATTATATTTAAGTCACCCTCCTGTTTCCTACCTTTAAGGTTCCCACTCTGACTCCCTGGTCTTCCTCCCATGCGGCTCTCAGTGTTAGCTGGGAGGAGGGACGTGCAGTCACTTCCTACCGGCTCTGTGATGTAATCACAGGGGGCCTGGTCGCACTGTTAAAGCGCCCAGCGCTGACCGGGCCCCCTCACAACCCACATCCATCGGGTGGCCCTGACAGCATGGGCCACCCGATGGACCCCTTGGACGGCGGCCCCGGTGGTTTGCCGCCCGGGCCGTAGATGGTGATGGCGGTACCCGGTCGCAGGGGTACCGCCAGCTCGCACCCGCCCAACCACCCACCCAATATCTCCAAATGAGGAAATCCCTACCGCCCACCTGGAATCCTGAAACGCCCACTAGTGGGTGGTAGGGACCAGATTGACGACCCATGGCATAAACTGACCCTTCAATAGTCAGGGTGGGTTAAGTCATACATAAAAAGAAAAACAGAAATATATAGTGTAAATCCACAATAGGTGGAATATATTGGTGAGGGTGAATGGAAATAAACTCACGCGGTAAAACTCCTTTTAAATAGAGGCTCTAAAACTTTGAAGCTGGTATGCTAGGGTGACATACAACCCCTCTTGTTCTTCTGAACATGCCGGTATAGTTGTCTCCGTAGGGTATGTAAAACAGGGAGATATAATCTGTTTTTTAATACAGCTTTTTAACCAATCCTTTTAATTAAATTCTGGTATTTTCACTTTAGGTTAATAATATTTATAAACATTAAAATTTTATTCAGAAGCAATTGTAGGTATTCTTTATCATATTTAATTGTATTACCTCTTATCAATTATATACCTCTGTGTCACATTTGCCCTAGTAGAGAGATTTGTTATTATCTATGTATATATTAAGATATCTATGTCTGTCATTGATTGATTATATCTATTTTTTTTGTCTGTATTTATGTAAATGGACTTTAAAAATGACCTATACCGGGGACGGAACATATCAGCGCTGAGCATTATGGGCGCTGTAGTTCCGTATGCAACCTGGATGTGATGTATCACAAGTATCTAAAATCTCATGGCGCCAAAATCAGCAATGCAAGATAGGTGATTCTAGAGACTGTCACGAGAAGTATGATGATTGGAACGCATTATTCAGGGGTGGAAACGAAGCACTGTGTGCACTTTACAACTGGATCCAGACTCCTCATACCAGGTACCACAGGGGAAGTGTCACCCACAAAAGAGACTAAAGTGATTCAACTTGGAGCCAGTTTGAAGGGCTCCATATCAGGTGAGCGTTCCTATATGTGTGTTTTATTTCATTATCCTTTAACACACTGCACTTAGGAGACCACTGGCGGATCCATGGGGGGGCAACGAGGCAATTGCCTCCCGCCGAGGCTCTCCCTTGCCGGCTAGTGCAGGGCTGGCACTGTCCAAGCGCCAGCCCTGAAATGTGCCTACATGGATCAGAGATCTCCCTCCCCAGTCCGCAGGCACCGTGCTGGCAGCCGGCAGGGGAGGGAGAGAGGATCCGGGAGCTCAACTTGCAGCTCCTCCGGGTCCTTCTCTCGCAAGCACGGAGCGTTCCCGCGGTTACCACGGCAACGCTCAGGATGTCGCAAGAGTGAACTCTAGCCCTGAAACTGTGGGCTAGCGTTCACTCTCAACACCACTGCGACCACCAGGGATTCCCCACAGACCACCAGGATCGAGAAATGTCCCTCCTCCTCCTCAGTAAAGGTAAGAAGGCAGGGGGGAACATAAATGTATTTATTTTTATTTTTAAAAAATAAATAAAATTATAGAAAAGCCCCCTTACCCTCCTCACCACACATTCACACACTGCCCCCCTACACACATTGCCCCCCCATACACACACATACACTGCCCCCACACACACATACACTGCCCCCACATACACACGTACACTGCCCCACACACACATACACACCCCCCATACACACTTCCCCCACATACACACACATTCCCCCACACACACACTGCCTCCACACACACATACACTGCCCCCCACACACTGCCCCCACACACATCATACACATTCACACACTGCTCCCCCACACATTGCCCCACATACACAGCCCCACACACACATACACTGCCCACCCATACACACACGGCTCCACACACACACACTGCCCCCCATACACACATTGTCCCACACACACATACACAGCCCCACATATACACATTGCCCCACATACACATACACAGCCCCCCATATACACATTGCCCCACACACACAGTGCCCTATACACCCTACACATTCACACACTACACACCCCAAAAACACACACTGAACCTTTCACACACACTGCACCCCTCACACATTGCACCACTCACACACCACTGGTCCTATGCCCTATTACAGCCCTATATCCCAGCAGACCCAAGGTAAGTTGTCAAACTGTTCTTAAACAGTTTGACTACTTACTCTGGGAGGGGGTCCTGGCACTCCTGGCACCATAACCACTACACAGAGCTGTAGTGGTTATTGTGCATGGATTATTTATTTAATAATATACAAGTGCCCCTCCCGAGATCAGGCTCTGGATCCGCCATTGTACCTAACTGCTAATAGTGGTCATAGCAGCGGTGGTTGTGGTGATGGTAACACTGACAGTGTATGAGCGCTCTACCTTACTGCTAATAGTGGTGGTAGCGGCAGTGGTGGTGATGGTAAAACTGACAGTGTATGAGCATTCTACCTTACTGCTAATAGTGGTGGGGGCAGCGGTGGTGATGGTAACACGGACAGAGAATGAGCGTTCTACATTACTGCTAATAGTGGTGGTGGCAGCGGTGGTGATGGTATCACTGACAGTGTATGAGCGTTCTACCTTACTGCTAATAGTGGTGAGGGCAGCGGTGGTGGTGGTATCACTGACAGTGTATGAGCGTTCTTCCTTACTGCTAATAGTGGTGGCGGCAGTGGTGGTGATGGTAACACGGACAGAGAATGAGCGTTCTACCTTACTGCTAATAGTGGTGGCGGCAGCGGTGGTGATGGTAACACTGACAGTGTATGAGCGTTCCACCTTACTGCTAATAGTGGTGGGGGCAGCGGTGGTGGTGGTAATGGTATCACTGACAGTGTATGAGCGTTCTTCCTTACTGCTAATAATGGTGGCGGCAGCGGTGGTGATGGTAACACTGACAGAGAATGAGCGTTCTACCTTACTGCTAATAGTGGTGGCGGCAGCGGTGGTGATGGTAACACTGACAGTGTATGAGCGTTCCACCTTACTGCTAATAGTGGTGGGGGCAGCGGTGGTGGTGGTAATGGTATCACTGACAGTGTATGAGCGTTCTTCCTTACTGCTAATAATGGTGGCGGCAGCGGTGGTGATGGTAACACTGACAGAGAATGAGCGTTCTACCTTACTGCTAATAGTGGTGGCGGCAGCGGTGGTGATGGTAACACTGACAGTGTATGAGCGTTCCACCTTACTGCTAATAGTGGTGGGGGCAGCGGTGGTGGTGGTGATGGTAACACTGACAGTGAATGAGCGTTCTTCCTTACTGCTAATAATGGTGGCGGCAGCGGTGGTGATGGTAACACTGACAGAGAATGAGCGTTCTAACTAACTGCTAATAGTGGTGGCGGCAGCGGTGGTGGTGATGGTAACACCGACAGTGTATGAGCGTTATACCTTACTGCTAATAGTGGTGGGGGCAGCGGTGGTGGTGGTGATGGTAACACTGACAGTGTATGAGCGTTCTTCCTTACTGCTAATAGTGGTGGCGTCAGCGGTGGTGATGGTAACATTGACAGAGAATGGGCGTTCTAACTAACTGCTAATAGTGGTGGCGGCAGTGGTGGTGATGGTAACACTGACAGAGAATGGGCGTTCTTCCTTACTGCTAATAATGGTGGGGGCAGCGGTGGTGATGGTAACACGGACAGAGAATGGGCGTTCTTCCTTACTGCTAATAGTGGTGGCGGCAGCGGTGGTGATGGTAACACTGACAGAGAATGGGCGTTCTTCCTTACTGCTAATAGTGGTGGCGGCAGCGGTGGTGATGGTAACACTGACAGAGAATGGGCGTTCTTCCTTACTGCTAATAGTGGTGGCGGCAGCGGTGGTGATGGTAACACTGACAGAGAATGGGCGTTCTTCCTTACTGCTAATAATGGTGGGGGCAGCGGTGGTGATGGTAACACGGACAGAGAATGGGCGTTCTTCCTTACTGCTAATAGTGGTGGTGGCAGCGGTGGTGATGGTAACACGGACAGAGAATGGGCGTTCTTCCTTACTGCTAATAGTGGTGGCGGCAGTGGTGGTGATGGTAACACTGACAGAGAATGGGCGTTCTACCTTACTGCTAATAGTGGTGGCGGCAGCGGTGGTGATGGTAACACTGACAGAGAATGGGCGTTCTTCCTTACTGCTAATAGTGGTGGCGGCAGCGGTGGTGATGGTAACACTGACAGTGTATGAGCGTTCTACCTTACTGCTAATAAAATAATCATTTTTAGAGAGCGGTGTAAGAGTGCTGGTTTAATTCTCTGCCTGCAATATTCGCTCGTATGATTTATCCAGGATTTTGTAGTCGGCCCCCTTATGGCTGCTTGCAGCTATATTAATTATATCATTATTTCTTATAATTATTATTATACAACAGAGATACGAATTGCAGTCTAACACAGCACAATCTGACCACGCCCCTCTGCACAGTGCAAGGGCTGCTGGGAGATGTAGTTCCAGCACTGACCAGGAAGCAGTGAATCATGTGACATTCTGGGAGCAGGAAACAAAGTGTCAATATGAACAAATGCTGCTCTGTCCCCCCCATCCTAATCTAACGCTCTCTCCCTCTCATCCCCTGCGCCTGATTCTCGAACCCTGGGGGGAGCCGGGCCACTGCCAGCAGTCCATCTGTGATGGTGGGAGGAGAGTTTGGAATGGTGAGTGTCTGCATTAACCCTTTCTGTGTTGGGTGACAGTCGTTATTATTATCATCGCCATTTATATAGCGCCAACAGATTCCGTAGCGCTGTACAATATTATAAGAGGGGGGATTTAACTATAAATAGGACAATTACAAAAAACCTTACAGGAAAGATAGGTTGGAGAGGACCCTGCTGAAACGAGCTTACATTCTATAGATATAACGTAGATCGTCACAGTAAATCCAAATTGCCCATTCCTATTGTACAACGGACGCCTTGGGATAAAAAATGACAGTAATGGTAACATTGTCCTGATTGAGCCTATCCTAGCTCTACCACCTCTGCTGGAAGGTTATTCCATGAATCTACCTATTTCCATGTAACAGAATGATACTATATATCTGCAGTATTTTAACACCACATTATATCTCGCTGCTGCTCTGTAGAAATCATTTTACTTACCGGTATGCAAGTTATTCCCGAGCCTTGTCAATCAGCATTAACCTCTTGTTTTAATTTATTTTCCTTTCTCTTCCCCTCTCTGTCCAATTGTTTGAGTTATGCGTCCTGGCCCCCAATATACGGACACGGCTTGTCCTTTTTACCCCTTGTAGTTATCGTTGATTCCACATTACTGACTGCTTGTTCACCTGGGAATTTGCACCATTTTAATTCATGAAATAAATCGTTAATCATTGAAGTGGTGAGAGGCAGTGGGGAGCTGATTGGGGTATTTATCCTTACGGTAAAGAGGAGGTGGGGGGGGGAGACACCCAGGCAGGAGCACGAATAGGAAACAGTATTCCCAGAATTCTACAGTTATTTCTTTCACAATAGTCACAGTAACGTTTAAAATAGGGAAATGTGCCAAAAAAATGTTTAATTAACATTTTGTACTCCACACCAGCTCTCCATTGGGAACTTCAACACTACGTCAGTTAGTCTAATAAATTCCAGCTGTATAGATCAAACAGAATGGACAATAGAAAATAAACTTTGTTAGCTGTGAGTTTATATATAAAGCTGATATATCCAAAATGTCAAATCTATAAACTGGAACATGTGTAAGACTTGTCTGTTATACAGATCTGCTGCTCTCTGACGTTCATGGCTGCAAAGCAGAAAACTAGCACAAAGATCATTTCTCCTAATTGCGTTCATTAAAGAAGAGGCCAAGCTTGAAGTGGTGAAATGTGGATAAAATTGTGTCTGGTCAGAGTGGAGGACGGGGCTGTGGCCAAGAAAATATGTTGGGGCCCACACGCTAACACGCAATCACATACACACACTAACACACAGTCACATACACGCACTACACATGCAATCATACACACATACACACACTAACACGCAATGACATACACACACATACACACATTAACATGCAATCATACATTCACTCTGACAGACAGTCATACAGAGAGGATAACACACTTCCATCAGCACACAGACAGTAATACACAACTTACCTACTGCCTGGAGAGGGGGAGAGCTCTGCTTGTTCTCCCAGGGGACTTGTATTAGGAGAGCAAGTCAGTTCCTTCTACTCCGCCTAACGCTTCTACTGACTGGGATATAACATCCTGGGACCGGCTTTCTCTAACACACTGCGCAGTAGGTCTGGGTGCCGTAATCAAGCGTCACCGACTCAGATATTCTGAAACATAGGGAGTGATGAGTTAAAAAAATAGCAGAAGGGCTCAAAAACAGGATTTGTCCAAGTGTGAGTTTTAATGCAGTGGTGCTCTGTGATATACTCATTCATACTGCACATTACCGTGAGTTTTATTGCAGTGGAGCTCTGTGATACTGTTACGAACCGCCTGTATTCAGTGTGGTACGTTTGTCTGAACTCCTGCAAGGTTCATGTGATTAAAGCGCTCCTTCTATCGCACACCCAAACATCAGTTGAGACTATATGAAGGGTACAAAAGGAATAGTTTAATATGGCCAAGTTGCCTGTTTATATACACAGACCTCCAGCATGTGATCTCCAGCAAAAATATAGGTAAACCCGCCCAGGTGTCTCTGTGCCTGGGAGATAAGTGAGTTTGTTTTTGCTTAAACTAATTATCTCCCAGGCACTAGAGGTACAGTACATAAAACACATATAATATTGATAGGAACCCCCACAAGTCTTATATCCCTGGATAGCCTGGATCTGAGCGCCCGAGTTGTCCAAATAGCGCTTTGATCCAGTCGTGTAGCTGAATCGCCACTGGGGTAAAGTTTGGACCGACCGCACACATGGCTGCTGTCCAAAATTGTTCCATAAGAAAAGAGGTAGCGGTCGGTCAATCTCCGGGAGTTCCTATACGAATTTAAACGAATGATCCACCTGGCTCGTAGGGAGCGAATGTTTCCCTAGTTCAGGAGTGTCTTTTCCCCTAACAGCGCTCTCCTGGCTTGTCTGTGTGAGAAGCAGGCGACGGGACAATGTTCCCGGGGTTCGCGAGTTAAGATATCTGTCATACAGTACCACG